AGTTCCAAGGCTGATCCATGTTATAGTACATATCATGACTTCATTCCTTTCCATGACAGAATAATATGCTATTGTATGCTTATACCACATTCTGTTTATCCGTTATGAGGTGATAGACCTTTGGGTTGTTTCTACTTTTTTTGGCTATTATCAACAGTATTGCTGTGAACACTTGTGGGCATGCTTTTGAGTGGATATATGTTTTCAGTTTTCTTGGGTATATACCTAAAAATGGAATTGGTGAATCATATGGTAACTTATGTTTATCCTTATGAGCCTTATGCACACAGCAGTTGTACCATTTTACATTCTCACCAGACATGTATGAGGGTTCCTGGGATATTGCAATATACTTGATATTGCAAAATATTTGGTCATCTTTTTAGTTTCCTGGCACACATCTCCTAAAACCCTTGGAATCTCCGGAGTGATTAGGAATTTTTTTTTTTGTATGCTAATGAGATGAGGCCCCTAGATAGCTTCAGAATGAGGGCTGGCCACCAGAAAGACCAAGGCATAATTAGAGAGTTGGGACTTTTTGTCCACCCATCAAACTCCAGGGAGGAGAAAAGAGATGAAGGTTAAGTTGATCAGCAATGGTCAATGATGTAATCAATTATGTCTACATAATGAAGCCTCCCTAAAAACCCAGAAAAACAACGTTTAGATGAGCTTCTGGATTGCTGAACACATGAAGATATCTGGAGTGGGTGCGCCTTCTCACATGACTTGCCCTATGCATCCATCTCTTCTATTCGACTGTTTATATATACTTTGTGATAGCTTTTATAATAAATAGGTAAAGGTAAGTAAGTGTTTTCCTGAGTTCTTTGAATTGCTATCGCAAATTAATCAAATCTGAGGAGGGGGGTCTTAGGAACACTGATTTATAGCTAGTTGATCAGAAGAGGCACAGGTCACAACCTGGGACTTGTGACTGAAATACGGAGTGGGAGGTGGGCAGTGTTGTGAAACTACGCCCTTAATCTGTGGGATCTGACAGTTATCTTCAGATAGATATTCTCAGAATTAAACTATGAAACATCCAGTAGGTGTCAACTGCGTGTGTGAGGAAACACTCTCCTCCATACACATACATCTGGTGTCAGAAGTGCTGGAATGGGGGTTGTATTTAATGTGTGAGAGTAGGAAAAACACTTTGGGTTTTTCCCACATCCTCATAGTTCCAATACCTCCACATGGATGTATTTTATTACAACCATCCTAATAGGTATGGTTTTGACTTGCAATTCTGTAATGACTAACAGTGTTATTTATATGTGCTTAGTGGCCATTTTTATGTCTTGTATGTATGTGTATATGTATGCATGTATTTGTATATAATATATATGAATATACATATATTTACTTAGCTCCTTTGCCCATTTTTAAATTGGGTTTTCTTTTCTTTTTCTTTTTTTTTTTGAGTTGGAATCTCACTCCATCACCCATGACACCCCAGCGTTGACCTGTTGGGCTCCAGTGAGCCCTTCGTTACAGCCTTCTGAGTAGCTGGAACTACAGGCGTGTGCTACCATACCTGGCTAATTTTTTATTTATTGTAGAGATGAGGTCTCGCCAAGTTGCCCAGGCTGGTCTCGAACCCACGGGCTCAGGCAATCCACTTGCCTCGGCCTCCCAAAGTGTTGGGATTACACTGAGCCTGGCCAGGGTTTTCTTTTTTTATTAATGAATTGTTAAGAGTTCTTTACATATTCTAGATACAGATCTCTTCTCTATTTGTAAATATTCTCTCTCATTCCTTGTCATTTCACTTTCTTGATAGAGTCCTTTGCAGCACAAAAATCTATAATTTTAATAAAGTCTAATTTATCTATTTCTTTAATCCCTTATACTTTGGGTGTCATATTTAAAAAACCATAACCTAACCCAAAGTCACAATAATTTACTTATTTGTTCTATAAGTTTCAGGATTTTAGCTGTTACATTAAGGTCTCTGATCTATTTTGAGTTAACTTTTGTATATGATTTGAGATAGGAGTTGAACTTCATGTAGATATCCAGTACTCCAAGGACCATTTGTTGAAAAGACTAGCCTTACCATTGACTTATCTTGGTACTTTTATCAGAAACTAATGGATAGTTTGTGATGGTTTCTTTCTTTTTTTTTTTTTGAGTTGGAGTCTCACTCTGTCACCCAGACTGGAGTGCAGTGGCTGCTGCCAGCCACTGCAGCCTCGACCTGCTGGGCTCTGGCGATCCTTCCGCCTCAGCCTTCCAAGTAGCTGGAACTACAGGCACGGGCTACCACGCCCGGCTAATTTTTGATTTATTGTGGAGATGAGGTCTCGCCAAGTTGCCCAGGTGGGTCTCGAACCCGTGGGCTCAGGTAATCTACTCACCTCAGCCTCCCAAAGTGCTGGAATTACAGGCTGAGCCACCAAGCCCAGCGTGATGGTTTATTTCTGAACTCTCAATTCTGTTCATGGATCTAGATCATTACACTATTATTACGCTTTCTTGATTCCTATTGCTTTAAGTTTTGACATCAGGAATTGTGAATCTGGGGATTATGTGCACCCTGTAGATTTGGGGAGTATTGCTATCTAACAACACTGAGTCCTCTGATCTATGAACATGGTCTTTTAAAATTTATTTCAATGATGTTTTGCACCTTTGAAAGTACACATTTTGAAGTTCTTTTGATAGATTTGTACATAAGTATTTTAATTTTTGATGCCATTATAGATAAAATTGTTTCCTTTCCCTTAATTTCATTTGTAGATTGCTCATTGTTAGTGTTGATTTTTACTATTGATTGTGTATCCTGAAACTTGGTTTGCTTGCCCAATAGCTTTTCAGTGGATTCCTTTGGATGTTCTATGTACAAGATCACGTCATCTGCAAAGAGACATAGTTTTATTTCTTTTATATAATCTGGATGTCGCTAATTTCATTTTCTTGCCTAACTGCACACTATATCTCCCAGTATAATGCTGAATAGAAGTGTTGAATGTGGGCATCCTTGTTTAACTTCCTTTTAGGATTCACAGTGCACATAGTCTTTTAAGAGTTCTGAGAAGCTACGCTGTAATAAAGTGTTTTCAACTTTGGATTCCCAAGCACTTGCCAAATTTATGTGAGCAACTATTAATAATTATGAAGCTTCTATTTTGCAGAACACATTTTAGAGAACACTGTAGGATAGTCCACAAAATGAGGGAAATTATTTTTCACTAGACAATAAAAGATAAAGTTCAGAGAAAACAAAAAAGTATGAAAGAATAAATTTCCTATTCAAAAAAATAAATTAGTCAAAAAAGAAAGAATTCAGGATTTTATGTTTGACATTGTAACACATATTGTTAACCTTGGGCTATAGGGGCACCCCAAAGTTAGCACACATGCTTGGAATTCAAGTTCTCCTAAGTCAAAACTGCAGATTAGACTCGTTTAAGAAGAACTGAGCAAATGGAAAAAAAGGAAGATCCTAATGGATACCAATATTAAGAAGACTGTTTAGAAGGAAGATCAGTAAAGAAGCTGCCAGAAAGATAAAAGAAAAATATAAAGAAATGGCCTTACAGAATGCAGAATGAGTTCCAAGCAAGTAAGAAGATAATTCATGCAAGAGCCAGAAAATGGAGAAAGTAGGCAAGAAAAGGATGTATCTTAGTGGTTCACATTATTTATGATGACAGGATCTTTTGATAGGACATAGATTTCTTTTTCTTCCACTGAAGGTGAAGTAGGGCCCTTTTTGAGGATCACTTACTTATAAAGTAGAAAAGATAGTTTATAGCTAGAAGAATTATCAAATGCTAGAAATTTAAAATATTTTTACCCAGAAATGATCTTCTACTATAATCCTTTCTGTAGATTCTAAGAAAGTCAAAAGATGTGAGCTGTAATTTTGGCAATATCACTGTTTGACTGGGGACAACTAGTTTTCTTTTGGATCCTCTGTTTCCTAATCTATAAAATATGGAAGTTGGATTAGATAATTCCTAAAGACTGCTTCAGCTCTGATAGCATAAGATTGTATATAAGCTAGCTAAATAAAAACTTATTAAAGGAATTAATGCTGTAAGATATCAAAAATTAGTATCAGGAAAAGACCGTAAGTATATGTCAAATAAAAAATTATTAACTCAAGTATCAGAGAAATTTGAGAAATAAAATTCCTAGATCCCTTTAAAGTAAATATAGTTGTCAATCTCTAGGTGGTAAATGCATTACCAAAATTAGAATCTTTCCTAGTAGTAACATTTACTAGAGAACAGTAGGAATTTATTTTTCAGAAGAATGAGACTACATCTGAAAAACAGACCAGCAGGAAGAACAAGGCACTTGTTCATCTGTATTTCTGTGACTTTTCTCACTTGGCATTATTTGCAACTGTACTTTTATGTCTGGCAGCAGTGCCAACTTCAGTATGAATCATATATTATTTTTATCATGATGATTACATATGTTCACCAGTTTAGTTGTCCATATATGCTTGGTGTGGTTTGCAAACACTCACTGACAAAATCCAGAGCATAGCATTTTCACAGAAAGTGTTTACTGTGAAATTTCTCTTTAGAAGTTTGCTTTTCTTTACAGCTTTGATCCATATGACATCCACATTCCTACATTTTAAACAATGGCTTATACTTAAATTAAGAAAATGCTTCACTTTGATACAACATGACTACAGTAGGATGTGGTGGTTCCAGAGAGGACCTCGTTTTCTTTTGTGATTAGAGATTTGGTCAAATTTGAAGTCTGCTAAAATTTTCCAAACTATGCTTCTCCAGTTTTATGGTCACTTGGTACTTACATTCTGTTATTCATCAACACTTCACAGAAATACTTGATTTGTCTGAATGAATTTAAAAACCCACAACTGAAGAAAATCAGAAAAACCTGGTTTTAAATATCAAAAGATCCCAAATGAAAAATATTTCTACAGGCCACACTAAGTAAGTTTTATTGATCATTGTACTTCTTTGCAGGATGAAATAGTTGCAAGATTGCATGTAAGAAAATAAACTTACTGGTAAATATCTTTCCTAAGGACAGATCTGCCAAGGGGATTGTCAGCCTGAGGAGCCATAGCAACAGAGCCTATCTTCAAAACCATGGTGTCTTCTTTGGCTGCTTGATTAACTGTAACAAAAGAAAGACAATTTATGAATACACTGTGGATCTGTGCATAACTTCATGCATAAGAAGAAATGTTTGAGGAAATGTAATACAGACACATTAAGATGAGATCAGTAAGTGAGAAAAAAATTATGTTTAAAATAAAAATATTTGATGTTTTTCTTAATTCCCTATTTCCTTCATATCGCATTAACTGGTTTTCTGTTAAGATACACAATTCAAATGGCAATGCAAAGACAATTTCACTCCCAACATTAAAACCACAATCTGCATCTTTCTCCCAAGTGATTTTCAACCCTGAGTTTTTACTATCTCGTTGCTGATAAATATGGTAAAGGGGACTATTACAAACTCAGTAATAAATTCTCAAAGCCATTTAAATTTACATGTAATGATAATTAAATATAATGTACGTGTACACACAGTATCACACTTTATGCTAAAATGTCAGAAAATTCAAAATAAATATGATGGCTGCAATGTTGAGAGAATATGTCAACTTGTTATCCTAAGCACTTTTTAATTTTAACAATATCGACTGTGAAACTGCTTGAGAAATAGTAACCCCATATCTAGTTAGAAGTTCTACCTCCTAATGAAATCTAAAACTAAGGTAATTCAGAAAACAAGATGAGACGAAAGGATATACCAGCTCCAAATATTTTTTTTGTACTGAATAAAACAATATCTAACCATATGATCTCATCTTATGAAGTTCAACACTTTTTCTATAACCCACTGACTAATTCAATGTCTTCTCTAAGGACAATTTGGAATTAATAGGGGTTCTTAACAATTTCATTCATTAAATTCATTCTCTATTTTCCAACAGATGATTCTACTATAGTAGCTATGTAAACACTGTTTAAAATTGTTAACGATATATAGCTTTCTGAGTTTTGAAGTAAGCATATACTAAAACTCATAATTTCTCTCAAGGAACTATCATTTGCCACAAATAGAACAGAAAGAACGGGCTGCAAGACCTCAGGGATATCCTGAACAGAATATGCCTACAAAGGCATACAATCCATATTTCCCAAACTGTGGTGCCCAAAGAATGCAAAAGCTAGGAGATTATTTCCAGCTGCTTCAGCAGTACACTTGGTATGGTCTGACTTAGATTAGACCAAAAAAAAAAAAAAGAATTAAGAAAATCAGCAAAAGTAAAAAGAAAGATATTCGGTGAGGGAAAGACGGAACCAGAATAAGATGACCATAAAGGGAGTGGGGAAGGCAAAATGGTAGGGAGGTGGGAGGAGGAACAAAGCAGAAGGGGACAAAAAAAAGAGATGAGCTATCATAATTAATATTAGTATCTGGATGCCACAGCAAAGACAATACTTTTTAAATATCCACTGGAAAAAAAGATCAAATAGAAAACAACTACTCATGCAGCTGCACTATTTTCAAATGACTAGAGATCTAGCTTGATTATAGGTCCTTATGCTATGAACACTGTTTACATTTCACAGATCTTGCATTTTATGCCAAGCTTATCAAATAGTACCATGTGGATAAAACCTCTGATTAAGCAACAGGCATCAATTAAATCAATAAATACTAAGCCTAGAGAATAGACCATATCACAAAAGCGCAATTAGTGTTCTTGCTAACTGTTCTTCCAGGCTACAGATACTACCATCCATTTGAAAGTCTGAAATGTAATAGAAACACTGCAGTAAATGAGGTACATATGGAAGAGAAATGACGTACTTGGTGTTACACACAAAGCCAGATCCAAGAAAAGAATTCTGTTTCTGTTAGAGCCAAAAGTGTTCTCAGTAGCTTATATTGAGTATGAAGTTATAATTTAAAAAAGCACTTAATGCAGATCATTCATTAACTAGATTAAATAATTAATTTTATTACAGAAATTATTCAGCATATCAAAATATATCATTGATATATAAGAAAACATAATAAAAATATGTATTTATACAAGAAACTGCCTCAAGTCATTTCTCCAGTTACTTTATAGCTGAAAAAAAAAAAAAAACAAGCTTCCCTTTTTTGGTTTATTTCACCTGCATTTAATAGTTGGACCATATGAGGAACTGTTCCCTCTAGAAGCATTTTCAACATGAAAATGAATGCCTTCCTTCTTCGCTTTAACTCTATTTTTAAAAACTGAGCCTCATGAGGAACTACTCATTCTAGAAGACTTATTTTATACTAGATCCAAAAACCAGTTCTCTGTTGTGAAATAAAAAGCTTAAGCTGGAAGTCAAACACCTGTAGAGTCAGATGCTTGATAATCATTGCACATAATGCAAACAATATTCACGCTGAGAGCCAGACTTTCAAAACGACTTCGCTAAACATAACATTAGAATGTTAAATATAGTTTTTCTTATTAACTAAATTTTAGACTTGATTTAAAAATTTTACATTAATGTCACATGAATTGTAAGTCTGAAAGATTTTGTCTTTTCCTGGGGCCAAAGAGTGTGTATATGTGTTTGTGCAGATGCATGAACGTATATGTGTGTACGGCATATGAAAAACCTGCAAACTTTGAAATTATGAGCTTGTATCAGTAACCAAATGCTGGAATTAAAAAGTAGAGGTTTCACACAATTGTCAGATAATATAAGACTGTTGTTTACAACAATGTTTTATTAATTCCAAAATGAAATAAAAGTGTTTTGGAGACTTCAACTTTCCTTTAAGATTCTCAATAAAAACTCAATTTAGCAAAATGTGAAGTCTCAAGAGTATCTGAAATTGCCACTGTGTAATGTTATATTTTTATAAAGCCAAAACTGTTGTGACAGCTTTCAACAAAAGGTCTTAATTAGCTATTGCCATAATAGCAGTTGAAGACAAAAAGAAGTTGTAATAAATGTGTAACCTAATGACCACTGTGCCTATTTATGGAAATTTTAGTTGCGTTTACTTTACGTAGCATCTCTGATACACATTACTCTGTGAAAGGCACAGATTATTATAGGCACAGATTGCTCTGTGATATTTTTATGAGAAAGTTACTGCTGAGAAAGTATAATGTAGCAACATTTAGTTATGCTATCACATGCATTAAGATAGTTTACATATCTGTTTTCAGTGTAATTAATCTGATAAAAATATTGGTCCAACAAACCTCCTTTTGAAGACTTTCTAGAATAACATGAATACTATGCTCTTGACTTATCTTACCAGAGTCATTAAATTAATAGTATTTATTGTTAAAAAGAGTTGCTGCTTCAATCATGATTTCTTTATTTAATCATATTATAGCTTTATGAAAATATTCAATCTTCCATATAAAATATAAGAATTTATCTAAGCTTTAAACTTGTTAAAATGGTAAAGTTTATGTTATATGAATCTTACCTCATTAAAAATAATTTCTTAGACCTTCTTATGTGTGAATTATCATTTGAATTAAAAGTAACAATGAAGAGACAAAAAAGGTGTCAAAAAATCTAACATGACAAAATCTTGACTTTTTAGCATGAATTTTTATAGTTGTATTCTCAGGATAGGCACAAAGTCTAGCAATTTAAGATATCTCAGACAGATACAGATGTAAGAGTAGCTATAAGCACAGACATAGATATATGCATAGATACAGAGATACACCCAAAGTCAGAAGACAAAAACCAAAAATGTAAAGATGCATGTAATACATGCCAGACAAAAGGCTTAATACACAAATAATTTTTATTAATTAATAAGGAAAATATAAGAAACCCCTTAAAACTTTTCACTGACAGGTTGACAAAAGACTAAAAAGTCTGATAAACCCAACCAGGAGAGAGTGTAAGAAAAGGGTATAAACTGGTGCAGCCCTCTAGAAGGGCAATTTGACATCTCTTAATATTTAAAGGTACATACCTTTTGATATAGCAATCATTTTGTTAGGAATTTATTCTACAGATATACACTTAAGTTACAAAAAAATGCCACAAAAAATTATTGCAAAAAGTGTTCATATGAGCAAAGGATTAAAATTAAACTACAAGTACACAGATAAATACAACAAATTATATTTTCCAAAGATAACTATAATAACATCCCCCAGCTCATATACTCTCATTCAAGGTGACCTCAGAAAGTATTAGGGTACCTACTTTCTGGAATTATATGTTAAAAACCCCACCTTAACCATTATCAAACAAAACAGCTTTTAAAATAAGATGGCCAAAGTCTGGAAATGTATTTGCAACTATAATTTTTACAAAGGGAAAATTAAACTGTTCTTTTTCAGCTCCCTTTTCTCAAATAGCCAGATTTGTATTCCTTCTGACATGCACACAAATATATCAATGAAACAGAATCTGTTTCAGTGAACCCTTGGTGAGTATGACAGAAAGATAAAGACAGAATTAAACAAGGCATTTCTGACCCTTGTCTCACTACAGAGATACTCAAGTGCTCAAGGCACAAGTGCTACTATGCTGATAGTTAGTTTCCACTAGTCTTCTTGTTGACTAAACTGGACCTGCACATTGGCATTGCTTAGAAAATACCACAACTCCTGTCCTGATATATATATATTTTACTCCGAGTCGGACGGAGTCTCACTCCATCACCCAGGCTAGAGTGCAGTGGCAGGCTCACAGCCACTCCTGTGTTGATATGCTGGGCTCTGGCGATCCTTCCGCCTCAGCATTCCAAGTAGCCGGAATTACAGGCGCACATTACCTCACCCAGCTAATTTTTTGATTTACTGTAGAGATGAGGTCTCACCAAGTTTCCCGGGCTGGGGCAATCTATTTGCCTCGACCTCCCAAAGTGCTGAAATTACAGGCTGAGCCACCGAGCCCAGCCTCCTGTCCTAATCTTTTAATATTTTTTCCAAGCAGAGTAGTACACAGAATTCTAGAGATTTACCATATGACCCAGAAATTCTGTTCTTTGCATTTACCCAAAAGTACTGAAAGCAGGAATTCCAACAGAAACTTGTAAGTCAGTGTTCATGCATGGTACCATACTCACATCAGCCAACCAAAAGGTGGAAATGACCCAGCTATCCAACAGATGAATGAATAAACAAAATGTGGTATAGCTGACAGAATATTACTTAGTCATACAAAGAAATGAAGTTCTGATACATGCTACAACTTGGATGAAATGTGAAAACATTACGCTAAGTAAAATAAGCCAGACACAAAAGGGCAAATGTTGATTGATTCCACTTATATGAGATTTCTAGAAAAGGCAAATTCATAGAGACAGAGAATACATTAGAGGTTACCAGGGGATAGGGTAGTTATTGTTTAATGGGCACAGGACTTCTGTTTGGGCTTACAAAATAATTTGGAAATAGTGTGATGGTTGCACATTTTGAATGTAATTAATGCCACTGAATTAAACACTTAGAAATGAAATGTTATGTTATATATATTTTACAATAACAAAAAGAGAGAAAAAATCTTCCAAATCAATGATCGAGACATTTTATAGTCATAGGCAAACTCTTCCTTAGGAGGAAACATTTATTATTATAAATAAGACCCTTCCAGTGATGACCACTTAAGAATTGTAACCAACACTAACACTGATGGTGAAAACAAGTCAGTCACATAGGCTTCTCTCATACCTATGGCTACAAGACTTCATTCAAAGGAGCTTTGCAATGATGATCTAAAATGAAATGAAAGAGCAATTCACTTGAAAATGTCTCCTTCATTAACAAATACCAAAGACTTAAAGAAGCATTCAGTACATTGATAATATTTTAACACAAATTTTCAACACAGATCAAATGTCCATATGGTTGATTCAGAAAGATTTATCAAAATATCTATTTTAGTTAGCCTGGTTGGGTCATGCAGAAAATCAACATACTGATATTGATTCATACTCTTTGTCAAGTTTTAAAACTTAATAAATGGGGGATAAAACATATACATTTGTTTTTTAAATTTATATTTGTGCCAATATTTATATTTTAGAGTGTAAATAGGTTTTCAAAAAGGAAATCCTAAATCAAAATAGCACAGGGGAAAAAAACATTAGTTTTAGTAATGTTCAATTATTATTCAGAAACCAATTACATCATAAAATTTGAGGATAATTTGTAAATCGTGAACATTTCTATCTTACTACAAAAGTCTCACAATCAGACATGTTGCTTTACTTCCTTTACTGTCTCTACAGCCTGACACTACTTTCTCAGCTTTTTAAAAATTCTTCCTATATTTCTCTATACCTCATCCCACTCTTTCTCCTCCACTATCATTTTTTTTCTTATGTTTCGATGAAATTCTGGCCTTATTGGTTATTTGCATTCAACTGAAAATAATTAGATAATTAAGAAATACAGAATATAAAATACATGTTACACAGTATCTTTAGAACTTACAAAAGCTACTAATATATTTTATTTTAAATGAATTAAAGGAACACACTCAGGATAGGAAAATGAATGCTTTATACCAGAGAGATTTTTATGAAAAATAGATCCTCAATTGTTGTAAAAGCTAGTTATATGGCTATATATTTACAGTTATAGGCTAGATCATAGAATTTTAATATATTTTATCAGTATAAACATTGTTTTGTTTTTAAACAAAATTTTATTTATCTTAGCTCTTTAAGACCCAGTATTTGAATCTAAGCAAACAAATAATACAAAATGTAAGCTTTACTGGCAAAAGCCCTAAAGAATCTAATGTCTCCTAATCTACTGATGGAGTCAGATACCCAGTATTCTGATATATTGCTGCAAGATTTAGTTATAGAATGACTATAAATGTATGTACTCTTTCTAACACACACCAAACTGCAAAGTACAGTCACTCATATTTTTAAAAAACAAACAAAAAAATGGAAAAATAAGGTCTCTAGGAGAAAATTATTTAAAATCAGACTCCCAAATTAGAAGACAGTACCTTCAACAGTTGGCTGTATTGCTTCTATTTTTGGAACAAAAATTCTGATTACACTTGTGTTGATATAAATCAAAGGTAAATTGCGTGATGTCAGTGTATGGGTCCTCATGGGCTGACCAGGAGATTTTCTTTTCTCTTTTTGGGTCCTTGGTAGTTTTGCTTGAAATATACTTGCAATGGCATTAAGTAAAGGAAAACAAAGAACAATATCAAAAGCTTGTGCTGAAAGAAGAATTTCATGAAGAAAATGAGGAGAACCATCCGTTAAACCTTCAGATAATTTGTGAAAACTTCTTCGCTCATTTCTTGATGTTAACTTGTGGCGGACATTTTTTGTTACAGCTTTTGTATATGTTAGAGAGAGAAATCCATGCTGCTGATGAGAACCATCTAGAAGTTTTGTAGTTGTCTGTTCCAGAAAAAAGAAATCACAGTACAGAGTTCATTAAAAAAACATTAAAAAAAATTATCTGAAAGAAGTAAAATGACCTCAATGTATATTTTACCTTTTGTCTTACCCTATACCTCTTAAAAATCACATGACTTATCAATTATGCAGATGGGACAAAGCATCTAAGACAGAATGACTAAACTAAGTTAGGTATTCTGAGTTATAGTTCTAGATCTTAAGAGAGGTAAATTACCTCCCTGTGCCTGTTTCTATGATTTCTGCATTTTCTGTAACATTAAGAATTTGGAAAAAGCTATCTTGATCTTATCTTTCATTTCTTGATTAATTTTTTATTGTGAGTACCGATTGGCTGTCATAAAATGGATCACAGAAAAATTTTTTTTTATTCATGTGAAACTGAAGTATGCATGTTATGTATTTTTATTTGGGGTCAAACCTGAATAGGTGAAATGATTGCTTTCACTAGATGGGACACAACATTTATAAAATCAGAGTTTTTCCTTCAGTAATCTGGCTAATTTATATGAAGACAGAGATCATAAAGAAGCATCATGGATACCATGCCTTGATAACTGAATTAACCAGTTAGTACATCTTTAGAGAAGATAGTAACGTGACACGAAAAGATAACATTTGTCTTTTAGAACTTGCCTTATTTAAGTAGCTATCACATTATCTACAAAACCTAACTATCGTATATCCTACAACTTCATAACCTTTGGGTACACTACTATAATTAGTACACATATAAGGTTTGATTGAGAATAAAAAGTATATAATTATGACTTCCATATTTCTGCTAAAACTAGCCCAATTAACTTGCATATTCAAATTGCATACTATAAGCAAATTATACTAAAAATAATATTACTTTTAAAAGGGTAAAGTAAAATGTATTCTTCTGTATTCCTCAACATATAAAAAAAACTCTTGAAAAATTTTCCTTAGTCAATTAATATACACAGAATCCTATTTTTAAAATTATTCAGCATAAAATTAGAGTAGAATTGTTTATCCCACACTCTCACTCATCTTTCCAATAGGGGACACTTTTTTTGTTTTTGTTATTATGGTCCTAAGAAGAGATTGTTAAGAGATGAACTGAACTGGGAAAGAAGAAAAAAAGAAAAAAAAAAGGAAATATATTCACATAAACAGAAAAAAATGAAAGAAGAAAACAGTGATGTTTCTGAGTCTGTGTTATCCCATCTAAACCTCTTTTGTGTCCACTTTCTTCCTCTCATGTTGCTGCCTACTACCCAGACTTGGTGACAGAAAAAAAATATGCAATTCAGTTATTACCTTTAATCGGAATGTTTTTTAAAAAGAAGGCAAGTAAACGCTTAGCTTTGTAAATGTTCTTTTTTCCAGTTAACTGACCATTAAAAAAAATTTGGAAAGTAAGCATTACGTGGTTGTGCAATATAATCTTTTTTTTTCCACAATGGTCTACCTTCAGAGCATTTTTCACTATTTCCAACTTTTTGACTGCGTCACCTTCCTGATTTTCCTCTTTTTGATCTCTACACTTGAAACAAAAGAAAGCATAAGTAAGACAGGCATAGTACTGCCAGTCTCATCACCATATTGGTGGACAGCAGGCAGTAAAGGATGGAGAAGGATGGCTGTGGTATAGCCCCAGCGGAGGAGGCCACAGCAATACTGTCTGCTAAAGGTGTCTACACTAGGGAGTTGGCCACTAATCTAAATAATATAACTGATAATCTTTATTGATGGAATTTTAATCTGGAATTAGTATAAAAGGCATTTCAGTGTATAAACATTTTTATTTGGAAAAATATTTTTAAGCACATGGAATAGTAAGTGTTCTTGAAAGGTAAGCTACATGAGGAAACAGTTTACTTATTTATTTTAAACTGCTGCATCCCTAACTCCCTTAATATAGGGGGAAAAAATGAATACTAGCTGGAGTTGAGGTAATACCAATATCACGTTTCTTAGCACAATAATAATTTATATTACTTAAAATGAAAAGTGAGAAAACACTGATAATTAAATACATTTTAATAAAAGTTATTTAATTTTAAAAGTTAGGAAATGATAAAAATTTAAAGACCATAAATAATAAATTTAGAATAAAACTCTGACCTACAAAAAAGAAAAAGGAATAGTTGTCCATATGGTCTGAGAAAATTTCTAATAATATTTGAATAAATAAATTCTTTAAAGAATAGCTAATAAATTCTTTAAAGAATAGCTATTGCCATTGCAATAATCTGCTTTTAATATTTAAAAATTACATGTGTTTTTACAACTTTAAGAATATAACTTAAAATAATTAGCTTATGAAAATATTCATATATGTCGCACCATTAGGAAAAGCAAGGCTTTAAACTTCTAAAAGTCACTTGTATACAGTCTAGCTTTCATTGTCTAGTCAATCAATGACACAAGTACCATCTTTCTCGTTCAGACTCAAGAGGATACCGAATAAGTTACTTGGAATTCATTGTGAGAATATAATGGCATAATAATAGGAAAAAAATAACAAAAAGCAATCTCAGCAGGAATCATAAGAGGAATGACAAAAGCAGTGTTGGTCAACTCTTGATTATCCAATACATGAACAATTCTTAAAAATTAAATTTAGTCTCTTACTTTGATTTTTCTTTATAGATGATAAAATTAGTTTGTACTCACAAAACCAGAGCAACAATAGTTAGTGACTCAGAAACAGATTATAGTAGAAAATCAGTCTATGATTTAAAATTATATTATAGTTTATTTATGAAGTAGATGATACAGAGGAAAATGAAAATCAAGAGTTGACTCTATGGACAGTTCAATTCTTTCTCTGGGTTCCTGTTAATTAAAATTCTGTAGCATAATTTAAAAATAATTTCTTACAGAAGGAAAGAAGCCAGAGCAACTATTGAAAGGGTCCTGCTTGCTGATGGGTCGAACCAACAAAGTGCGTCTGTTCAGCTTGTCAGTACAGGAAAGGAAGACACCTCCACATTGCCCCAAAGACCAACACTCTTCCCCAAGGCTTGAGGTGATGGACAGGAGCAAAGAAGGTGAAAAGACAAAAAGCAATAAAAGCCATAAGCAAAACCAAAACAAAACAAACAAAACCAAAGGAAAAAGAAAAAGAAAAAGAAAAAATCTGAATAGCTTTAAATTCTGCTAAAGTTTGCATAGATTTAGGTTTGAGCCACTGCTAGGTATGGCTTCCACCTGGACCATCTTCTGCAAAAGCAATTGTTAAGGGAAATAAATAGAAAATAATTGCTTTTAGTGTATAGTTATAACTTCTAGTATATGATAAAGAACAATCCAGTATGAACTCACTTAAGACATAGAAAAAAATTTCCAAAAAGTCAACATAATAGTACATTAAAGATAAAATATATTAAAAAGAGCAATCTCATCTTTACTTTTTTGATAAATTTACTTAACTGTTATAATAGGAAGATGGTTACAAAACATGAGCAGTTTAAAAAATAGTTTTAAATGTATATGTAATTTTGAAGAAATAGATCAAGAATTTACTCTAAGCTCTGATTATTGTAACCATTAGTCCTATTGCATGAAAGAACAAAGAGAAACAGTTTAAATATATACTTTCAAAAATCATAATAACTAAATGTGTCTCACCACAGGTTTTTCTTTGCACTGTAGAAATACTCCTTCAAAATGTCCTGACTGCCAACCTTCCCCTGGCCTGGAAAACATAAGTTCACCTTATCTGTTCTCTTCAATTTTTCTGAGTTAAAAAGTTGAGCATAAATAAAGATTTCAAATCGTTCTAAAGTAAACAACACTGCACTGAACTAAAACGTGGATCTGGCAATTCAGTCAATAGAACAATTCACATTAGCACCATACCCTGTGAGTTTTACAAAGGAACATTTGACCTCATGGTAAACTGCACATTTATCTGGCTGATTATTAATTTCTATCTCTTCCATGACACCGTGAAGCCCTTAAGAGTACGAATTATAATTATTTTTCTTAAACACTACATCTCCATTGCTTAGCATAGCACCTGGCACATAACGCATACCCAATAAACATTTGGATTGAGTGAATGACTTATGTAAATACTTAAAATGACTTATCCAAATATTTAAAATTTACATAAATATAACAGCAAAATCAGGGATAGACTACAACACAGAATATAATACTCACATCATTAAAAATTATTTCAGCTATAATATTATATTAATATATTACTTGCAAAAATATTTTAATATAAATATATACTATTTCAAAGGAATTAAAGAACTAAACATTCCATTATGAAAAGCCAATTAATGATTCAATGCTATTATTACAAAAATAATTATATGATTGGTAAGGTAATACTATTATAACAAGTACTAATATATTTCCAGCAAATATTTTGTATTCAATAATTGTAACAGATTTGATAGTTACTGTCATAAACAATATGATATATGCAATAATGGATAAAAGTTCAAATGTTTTTAATGTAGAATTAGAAACTTGGTAAAGGATTAAAAAGGTTTTAAGGCATGAGATGAATCAATATGTGTACAAAAACCCATGTGCTTCCACAGGCACAAAAAAATTGGTGAATCAATAAATATTCTGAATCCAGAAAGAAATGGACTCTATGCCTGTTTATAAGCTAAAAACTATAAAACTTAAAATATGATGCTATATAAAAACATTTTTGAAAGTATTGTGAGTTTTATGGCATGTAAATTATAATTTCAATTACAAAATAAAATATCAGGATACTACTATAAAGTAAAAAATTGTATTTGCATGTTTACTTGGGAAAAATTAATGATAAAGTTGCTATAGAGCTTTGTGAAAACATCTAAAACTTATCTTTTTTACTACCATTACTCATTATCATACACAAATCATATTTGCATAATTATGATTTTGATATAAATTTACTAGGGAAGAAACAATGGTTCTAGAAATATCCATCACATGCATATTAATTATCTGTGGGATAAGAAAAGAGTCATCAAAATGGTAAGGGACATGAGCTAATGCTCCATCTCAGATCATGATTATACTGGCAGTGGGAATGGATGGGAAGTGTACAGCAAAAACCAGAGCCATCAACTGTTTTCCAGGATCTTAGCAAATATATATCAAGTAAGTTGTATAAGATAATTAGTAAAAGCAGTTTATTTCACTTAATGTGGCAATGCAGGCATTCATGAACACATTTGCCATTTTAAAAGACAAAATTTTACCGTGCTTCCTATACAAATACGAAGTAAAATTAACCAATTTACCTGTTAAGAACCCTCTTTGAGAAGAAATACAGGCATACCTTGTTTTACAGGATTTGCTATATTGCTCTTCGTGGATATTGTGTTTTTCCCAAATTGAAGGTTTATAGCAATCCTGCACTGAGCAAGTCTATCAGTACAATTTTTTTCTCAACAATCACGTGGTCACTTTGTGTCTGTGTCACATTTTGGTAATTCCTGCAATATTTCAACTCTTTTTAATGTTAATATATCTGTTGTGTGATCTGTGGTCAGTGATATTAGATGTTACTGTTCATAACTGTTTTGGGGCAGCATGAACTGTGCCCAAATGAGACAATGAACTTAATTCATAAACGTGTGTATTCTGATTGCTCTACTCGATCAGCTGTTCCCCCATCTCTCCCCTTTTCCTTGTGTCTATTTCCTGAAACATAACACTACTGAAATTAGGCCTATGAATAACCTGCAATGGCCTCTAAGTATTCAAGTGACAAGAAGAGTCATCTTTCACTTTTAAATCAAAAGTTAGCAATGATTAAGTATAGTGAGGAAGACACAACAAAAGCTGAAACAAGCCAAGAGTTAGGCGTCTTATGCCAGAACACAAAGGAAAAGTTCTTGAAGAAAATTAAACATACTACTCCAGTGTATACTTGAATGAAAGTGAAACAGTCTTATTGCTGATATGGGAAAAGTCTAAGTGATCTGAATAGAAGATCAAATCAGCCACAAAATTCCCTTAAATCTAGAACAAGGACCCTAATGTTTTTCAATACTATAAAGGCTGAGAGAGGTGAGAAGGCTGAAGAAGAAAAGTCGGAAGCTAGTACAGGTTGTTTCATAGATTTAAGGGAAGAAGTTGTCTCCATAAAAGTGCAAGATGAAGTAGCAAGTGCTGATGTAGAACCTGCAGCAAGTTATCCAGAATATCTAGCTAAGATAATTGATATAGGTGATTATACTACACAACAGATTTTTAATGTAGATGAAGCAGCCTTCTCTTAGGAGATGTCATCTAGAACTTTCATAGCTACAAAGGAGAGGTCAATACCTGGCTTAAAAACTTCAAAGAACAGGCTGACTCTCTTGTTAGGGGCTAACGTAGCTGGTGAATTGAAGTTGAAGCCATTGATCATAGACCATTTTGAAAAACCCTTAAGAGTTATGCTACATCTACTCTGTCTGTGCTCTGTAAATTGAACAACAAGGCGTGGATGACAGCACATCTTTTTACATCATAGTTTAATGAATATTTTAGACTTACTGTTGAGACCTATTGCTCATAAAAAAGATTCCTTTGAAAAAAATGACTGCTCATTGATGGCCACCTAAGAGCTCTGAGAGAGATATACAAGGAGATTAATGTTGTTCACGCCTGCTAACACAACATTCATTCTGCAGCCTATGGATCAATAATTATTTCAACTTTCAAGTCTTATTATTTAAGAAACAAAATCTATAGCTGCCATAGATTGTGATTCTTCTGAAGCAAGCTGGACCTGGGCAAAGTTAATTAAATACCATATGGAAAAGATTCACCACTCTAGATGCCATTAAGAACATTCATGATTCATAGGAGGAGGACAAAATATCCACATTACCAGGAGTTTGAAAGAAGTCGATTCCAATCTCCATGGATGACTTTGAGGGGGTTCAAGACATAAGTGGAGGAAGTAAATACAGATGAGGTGGAAACAACAAGAGAACCAGAATTAGGAGTGGAGCCTTGAGATGTGACTGAATTGATATAATCTCACGATAAAGAATGAATGAGAAGTTGTTTTTTATGGATGAGCAAAGAAAGCTTCTTGAGATGGAAACTACTCCTGGTAAAGATGCTGAGAACATTGTTGAATGACAACAAAATATTTAGAATATTCCACAAACTTAGCTGTAAAGTAGTGGCAGGGTTTCAGAGGATTGACTCCAATTTTGAAAGAAACTCCATTGTGGGTAAAATACTATCAAACAGCAATCATATACTACAGAGAAATCTTTCAAGAAAGGAAGAGTCAGTTGATGTGACAAATTTCATTGTTGACTTATTTTAGGAAATTGCCACAGCCACCCTAACCTTCTGCAGTCAAGACCCTAATCAGTCACCGGCCATGAACATCAAGGCAAGATTCTCCAACAGCAGAAAGATTATGACTCATTGAAGGCTCAGATGATTGTTAGCATGTTTTAGCAATAAAGTATTTTTAAATTAAGGTATGTACACTTTTTATATAAAATGTTATTGCATACTTTATATACTACAGTATAGTGTAAATATACCTTTTGCAAGCACTGGGAAATTAAAAAATTTGTGTGACTTGTTTTATTGCAATATTTGCTTTATTGGGGATGTCTGGAACTAAATCAGCAAGGTATGCTTGTATTTTTTAAAAAATAAGTAGTCAAATTAAAGTAGAAAAATTCTTATAATAAATTTGTTCAAAAAAATATAGCTTTCTTATATTCATTTCATTATTTACCTGCTCCTATAGTGGTCAATATTGAAACTCTCTATTTTACATTTCACTTTGGTATATACATCCTGGACATCTATGGAAGCACTGAGATCTTCTAGTTCACTGACCATACAAATCTCTGCAATAAGAAGCAAACATTAACATAGATATGGTCCTCACAATCAATACTGAAACTTTCTATTTTACATTTCACATTGGCATATATGTACTGGACATGTGTAGATGACACAAAATTCCAGAATAATAGGTAAAATTACTATCAGTATAGGCCATACAATTAAGATAAGACATATATTTCAAGATAGGAGAAATACCAGTTAATTTTTGAAGTATTATATTTGATATTAGTCAAGGATCTTTGTAAAACTTGTAGTGACAATGGTATAATATATCAATATGACCATTGAGGAAATTCCTTCATGGCCTTAAGATAAATGTTAATACAAACAGGCCAACATTTAGGTATTACAAAGTAAAAGAGACTATGTACACATAAAAATAGAAACTTTACATATCAGTAAGATTCAACATTTTAGCTTTGTTAAGGAAAACACTTAAATGAATCTAATGATGTTTATTTAATTATAAATGACAATAATAAAATAAAGTCTAATATTTCTTCTTTAATTATTTCAGCAAAGAGGACATGCAATGCTGTACCTGTGCCTTTGTTTACAGAATCTGGAGCAAATAGCTTTACAGTAACTTTGGGGAGCACCCACTGCATCCATAGACTAACACGTCCACTGGATCCACCAATATTACTTGTAGTTTGTTCCAACGTAACAGAATCTGAAAATGGTGAGTCATCACCTGCTTGTACAGAATCTCCCTGGGGTGAGGGAAAAAAAATCCATTTGTAACATTAAAAAAAAAAAAAAACTGCAAATATAATTTACAATAAAAAATCAGCAATTATTAGTTGTAAACTTTACCCATCATATATGCTAATAATAATCATATAAATGCTAAACTGAATGCATAATGCTAATCATATAAACATATACTACTCAAATGCTTTTTGAAGTTACAATATATACACATGTCATTTCAGTTTCCTCTAAAGATATGGAGAACAAGTTAGGTTCATATAAATGAGTATTTCCTTATACAGCAGGGTCTACAAGCTAGTGTGAAGGCCCACATACCACTGCTTTGGGGGAATGAAGTTTCCTTAGATCAAAATCTCTATTGTTGATGGCTGCTTTTCAGTAGAGTTGCATAGCTGCTACAGAGATGCTATGGCTCACAAAGCCTAAAAGTCTTTACTATCTAGCCCTTTACAGGAAAAATAATTTGTCTGCCACTGCTATACAAAGGTGGACCACCAAAAAACTGGAATTAATTTATAAACACCTTGTATTTATTCTTATATATTTAAACTTCAGTCATCTTCAAAGCACTCTCAGTTTGAAGCAATACTCCTATCAAGATGCTTTTTCCACAGCCCAAAGCAGTTTTTGAAATTGTCAATTTTGATACCTTTTAGTGCCTCTTTTTTGTTTGTTTGTTTCACCTCTTCCACACTGGCAAAACGTTTACCTTTGAGAAATTTTTTCATTCAAAGAACCAAAAAAATAGTCATTCGAGGTGAAATAAGGTGAACAGGGTAGGATAGGGCACAGGGGTCATGCAGCTGTTGGTCAAAAACTGCTAAACATTCAGCGTGGTGTGGGCAGGTACACTGCCACGGTGGAAGAACCTGTCACCTGGTTGCCACAACTTGAGATATTTTTCCCCTCAGACCATTATGCAACTTCTCAAAACTTCCAGATAAAACTTTGGTTGACCATTTGATCCAAAGGAACAAATTCTGAGTGGACTACAAGGGATCCATCCTCCAAAATATAATTACAGGTTTTTTTGTGTACCTCCTAGTAGAATATTTGTAAATGAATCTAGCAGTGATTAAACTGTGATATCACAATTTAAGAAACAGCCAAACATTCATCATGCCTCACACTCCTCACATATGAGACATGTAAAATTAGTAGAGTTAACAAAATTAGTGGATTTTAAAATGTTTTATATGGTGAAAAGTCTCTGAGTTAGAGAAACAGAACATGTGCTTACTTACTCAATTCAATAGGCATACACTAAACTCTGGATATGTACTATCAGAGCCTAAATTCAGTGCTAACAAACTTGCTGTCATAGGTTTACTGGTTTGGTTTTGGTCTTTTTAGCAGGTTTTAGTAGCCTGGAGTAAAGTAAACCCTTTTAACTGAAATTTAAGCAGAACTGAATAGCTTCAGTCAAAAATGCAGAAGAGCTGCTGCTGAAGACAGTGATCATAATTGCTGGTATGTTCGGTTCTTTTAGGTTAACTACCAAGTATATGGGTTTTTTTCTTCTTTATTTCAAAGATGTAGGGTATGATTCAGGTATACAAATGTTCATTATGCAGGTACCCTTGTTGATGAGGTGTGCCTCTTCAACCCCTGGCAGTTTCCCTCAACTGCCAATCCCACCCCTCCTCTCCTGGCAGTTTCCCACTACTGCCAATCCCTTTTTTACAGTGTTACACAAATTGTTCAAGTTCTGCTTATGAGAGAACATATGGTACTCTGTTCTTTTTTCCTATGATAGATCACTAAATATGATAGATTCTAAATCCATCCAAGTTGCTGCGAAGTCCATATTTTTGCCCTTCTTTATGGCTGCATAATAGTATATGGATTTTTAAAATACCAAAATTGGAAACCTAAACCCACATAGAACGGAGAACTGATCAAACACAATGTAGTATGCTAACTTGTTTAAAAGACATATTTATATTTAAATATTGGTTATATATGTTTAATTATGCTTAGTCTGGCGGAAGTATGATGGACTAGGGTAAGGACTTCAGATGCTGTTGATGTGATTTTAGGCAAGTAGTTTAACTTTTCAGAATCTGTTTCTACTTCTGTTAAATAGTTACTATAATGATATTTATCTCTTAGAGTTAAGATTAAATAAGAATATGAATGTGAATGAAGTGTTTATACATAGAAAACACTTCATAAATGATAGGTATAATTATCACCATCAAATTGAAACATTGTTTAAGAAATTGTTCACTCACATTCTTAAAGAATTTGGTATCCATCTTGTCTTTCTCATTGTTATCTTTCTAACTTCAGACACATTTGCTGTATGTTCTTAACCTCCAGTAGTTCATTGTTGCTTTGAATATCTCAAACAAAATGTTCATTTCCTATGCTAAGAGGTTATAACCAGTAGATAACTGTGAGAACAAAATACCCCTTAAAATTTAAGTGAAAACACTATGACTTGGTCAGTATGTCATTTTTTATCAACAGTTTGTCAGAGCAGAAGTCACTAATCGCTAAGTCAAGTCATCATTCTGACACTTAAAAGCAAGAAAGATAGGTAAAACTCCATATAAAACAACCCAAAAACTCTGCTCTTATTACCACCCACATGCCATCTAGGCAAGGTTATATTCAGTTCCTATAGGAAGCTTCTACCTTAACCTCAGTGTTTTATAACATCTTTCAATCAGAAGAAAATTCAGTTTTGCTGAAACCTCAGAAGGAGAACAAATGGGGAAGATTTTCATAGAACAACAAACAAGTGTTTACTGTAAGAACATTTAGGCACCAAGAACAGCAAAGCAATAGTATCCTGGGATTTACTGTGACAGATTATACAGTTAAACCTAAAGATATTATAGTTGCTCTTTGTCCCAATTATACCAAGCAAAGAAAACAGCTCACTGTTCAGAAGAGATGCTGCTAAAGACAGTGATCCCAATCACTGGTATGTCCAGTTCTTTTAGGGTTTTCATATAAATGCTTCTCCAAAATAAGTAATTCTAAATCTGCCACAATTGAAATTCCTAAAACTTAAAAAGCTATTTTAAAAATCAGGTTTTTGGTTAGCTATTTAACATAATACAACATCTAATGAAAAGCACAAACTAATTATGGTTAAGGATACTTCTTACAAAGTCAAGTTAAATAAAAGGCAACATAATGATGTCAGTAAGCTTTTCTTTAAGAATGGGTTCTTAAAGCAGAAGCACGCTTAAGTTAAATCCTCCCTCCAACAGTTAAGAGAACGTCATACCTCAAGAACAGAGACTTGCAGAGAAAATAGCATCTCAAATCAACAGGACCTCTATTTTTAACACTACTGGGTAAACTTAGTAAGAATGCTAAGAAAACTGGCTTGAGATTTAGTAAGCACTCTTGAGAAAAGTTTTCCTCTACTTCCTCATGCAGTTTCAATTTTCATTTTAGATTTACAGCATTTGGTGTGGAATATATTGTTAAACATGTTTGTGCATTGATTTTCTGCTCTGCTTCCAAATCTATAGTGAAAATTGGGCCAGAAATGGAGATGCCGAACTATTTTCCCATACTTCCTTAGGCCAAGTTCTAAAATAAACAGTTCAATTTTTTTGCCATTTAGTTGCAAATTGACCAAAATACTAAGTTTATTTTCCTAGGTGAATTTATCTTTGTTCATCTGGAAGAGCAAACACTTCAGCCCTTCATCCTTGGCCTGCTTCAGAGCTTAGGGATGATCATAGTTTTGGCCGCATGGCTACTCTCTCTTATCAAAATAACTTCAGCATTCTTGTTCAATCACAAAACTTCCCCAAGGGCTAAACACTTCCACCACTGTTTGTGCTTAAGTCAACAGTAACAAGTGGCCTGCTGTGGTCTCCACTACCTTTGCTCTCATTATTTCAATGCAAGGGTGGGAAAAAATGATTAAGTATTTTTAAGCCCACTACTTAAGTCTCAAATTCATATTTCCCACTTAACCACAACCCAGATTGAAATACAGGAAGCTAGAGCTATATTTGCACAAAAGTACAGTGCTCCCTATCAACATGTCAGCATGAAAAGAATTACTCATAGTTTAAAGTATAAATCATCTAGGGATCATATAAACAAATGCTTCTATTTAATACAAACAATTGTTAGAATGTGCTTTCTTAAACTAGATTCATTTACAAAAAGTCCTCTATATTCAAAATAATTTAAAATAATAGCTTTGACCCAATTAAACAAGAAAAACAATATTTTAAATAGTAAAGTGTTTAAAACTTTTGGTGCACTT